CCGCGCGGCGTTGGGGGCAGCGGAGAGGATCCGGCGGAGCCAAAGCCGGCCACGGACACAGGGTCTTTTCTCCACGGGGCCTCAGAAGCGCCTGAGTTTTCTTTGTACTTATTCGCCCTTTTGCGCAAGCCAATGTCCCCGCCGCGAGCAAACCGCTTGGACGGCTTCCGAAGGAGCAGGGACCTGGCTCGACCCGCCCTGCTGCAGCTTCCAATGTGCTGGTTTTCCAGGGAACCGGTGGCAACCAGGGCAAAGTACTGGTCTTGCAGACCCCACTGGGGACGGCCCAGAGGCACGTCCCGGTGCGGACCACCCGGCTGTGGAAAGCAGGCTCCTGAGTGCAGCTAGGGAAGGGCAAGCTTCAATGCAACACTGTGTGTGTCTAAGAACTGCCGATGCCTCACCGTCACCCTGGACTAGGTGGAATCAGCACGGCTCACCTATGTGTCATAGGCCCTGTACTGCTAAGCACGCTTCCCCCATTAGCTCAAGTGGCCCAGGCCCTGCGCTTTTGGGGGCAGGATTGATTCCCCTGTGAACTAGCGCCTCTCTTAGCAAAGCATCTCCTCTTGATTTAAAAATGGCTCAGGATGGAGAGACTCCACCACAGCCCCTAGGGTCGGCTGTTCCAACGGGGAACTCCCCGGGAAGTCCTGCAGGCCTCTCTTTCGTTGGCGCCTTTCGCCACAGGGGTTCATTCCTACCGGTTATTTACACCACATTTACAAACAGAGTTGTCGGTTTTCAAACAGCAGGGCCACGAACGTTCCCGCTTGGACCTGGGGTGAATTCGCCACTGGAAACCGCCCCGCGGGGATGCTGATGCAAAAGCGCGAGTCGCGGGCGGCCATCGCCTCCCGGAGGTTGGCTTTGTTACGCTGGGGTGGGGTGGGGTTTTTCTTCCACAATTCAGACCTTTTCCCCCCGAATTCACTTCCCTCTCCCACAAATGCACTTCCTCGCGCGCCTTCTCGGGTCAGCTCCAAGTCCTCCTCCAAAATCCAAGGGCCAGCAGCACCCATGTCCGGTGGCTCATCTCTTCTGGCCGGAGCCGAGCATGACCCTGGACACGAAATTGACGATGGCGGTGGCCGGCTGGTCCGGATCCAGCTCGGCGAAAAGGTGGCAAACGTTGTCTGTCGTGCTCCCCTGCTTCCTGGCCACAAAGCCAAATAGCCTGGGGGGGATCACAAAGAAAGAGCTGATGGGTAAATGCGCCCTCAGGCCCCTCCCCCTTCCAGGGAGGCGTGCCCATCGACTCGAGGGGGCGGGGCTTCTGTAGCAACGTTTCCTCGCCATGGCCTTTCCGGCTGAGACGTCCCCAGCCACCTACGGGAGAGAGGGCTCCACGCCCATTGGATCGAAGGGCCAACAGGCCCAGGACTAAAACCGTGTCCAGAAGGTCACCGACCCCCCCCCCCCACCCCC